TAGAATTATTTCATTTACCGCGTTCCTTTGTCTGTTCAAACAAAGAATGTAATCGTTACAGATTTTCATGAATTATGTATCGCAAAATCACTATATTCATGGTGTTCGAAATCTTGATTTACATTCTTAAAAATTTACATCAGTTTCATAAAAGCAAATTAATACTTTTCATTTAGGAGGCTTTTATATCGTATCTAGTTTTGCATTAAATTTAGAGAAGTTTCCACTTTCGCATGCCGTGTTTTGCAGTATTATTATGGCTTATTCAAGACACATTTCACGTTGCTGATCGCGTTTTCCTGTCAGTTCAAATAAATTTTTGATGATTTATAGATTTCGAAAGTACTGGAGTGCTAATTCGTTTTATTAAACGTTATATTTTTATTGATGGGCCAGCCTTTTCCTTCTCTACCATACCAGAAGAGGAATCACAAACTCTCGCTGACTATAATGCAGAACTAGTTGAGAACTTACCAGGTTACATGTATGATCCACAACCCTTGCCTCATTCGTCTCCATCAACCCCCTCTCCCATACAGCTCCTCTCATCATTACAATCTTCGTTCTCGTAGTTCATCTTAAATCTCACTATTTACCCCTCTTCATGCACCTCTTTCGCTACAGTTCCGAGCACTCCTCTTACATTCCTTTTCCCTTATCTCCTTTCTCTACTACTGCAGGCTATGGCCTCTTCAGCTTCGCGGCCACATACAGCATCTGCTAGGCCAAATAATCGAGGGCCGCCAAATTCGTCTGCCACACCACTTGTTGCAGCTCGAAGTCTTTCGACGCCTCAGCGTCATTCCGCAGCCACTGCTGCGACCAGTATTACTACTGCAGCCTGTGCTGCGACCAATATTACTACTGCAGTCTGTGCTGCGACCAATATTATTGCTGCGGCCTTTGCTGCGACCAGTGGTAATGCTGTAGCTTTATCGGCGTCGCTCGTCGCCGACCAACGCCGCCCTCTGCACAACGCTCGCTCCAACGCTACTACCGTGTCGAATGCGGACAGAGGTCCCGGTCCAACCCCACTTTTGCAGCATCAGCTGCGCCCAGTTTCAAAAAAGATACACAGCGTCGGAATATTGTAACCTATGGTCCCTCGTTGACGTACAATCCCCCGGTGCAGTACTTTGTTGCGGCTGTTACCACCGCCCAAGCTGCTGCTGTCCTGACCCCGGGGCAACACCCTTCCGTGATGGCGCAAGCATCAGCGTTCCTGACCAACAACCGCAACTCGCTTGTCCTAGACCTTGACGGTGAAAATTCCCCGGACTTCATCCACTTGACGTGCTTGAAGTGCTTGAATTTTCGGAATGTGTGCATGTCATCCTGGACGGCAAGGACCAGCCACCACAGTACTGGAACGCTGATTTCCAGATTTCCACCCACTCTGCGGGGAATCACATACGGGCCTCTGCTACCCTGCTTCGCGGTAAGCTTGCACGCCGCTCCCTAGTCCCCCGGTATATGGTTAGTCTGGTACACCATTACCGGTACCACAAAACTCGCACTGGGGCTTCACGCCGTATGGTTGAATTCGTAGGGCGCTTTGCCGAATCCATGCGTCAGGCGGAGGAGCACTTGTTGGGCTCCAAATCCGGTCCCACAATCCCGGACCTAAGTTTCGTCCTACCCTGGCATTTACTTCTCCCGGTAGGCACTCAAACCTCAGGCCATATTTGCCTAGCCCCCGACTTCCCACCCCAGCAGGGCTTCCACGTCGTTGAGGAGGATGATTCTCATGCAGCCCTTTTAGCCCTGGAACCCCTTGGTTTCCAGTCAGCTCTCTTATGTCCCGATCCCTTTGGCCCAGACTCCTCCTCCCAGGTGACTGCCGGTCTCTTCGGACTTATGAGGTTATGCTCCTTGCGACTGCCAGCCTCATAATGCACCGCTCACTCCAGAGTCTGTATGAGTCGGGCTACGATGGCATGCATTATTGCTTGCGGGATAATCTTCTCACCCTACAAATCTCGAACCCGCAAGACCAGAAGCAGCTTCACCGTCGCCTTCGCTTCTGAACAAAGAACACGCTCATGCGTGTCACCCGCTTCCCAGTTGAAAATCCTAGGCATGCTACGCCTTCGGTTTCCAGGGCGCCTTCAAAGACAAGGTGTGGCAGCTTTGAAACGCGGTAAAACGGGAAACTATGTCCTGCGTGTTAGCTTTTTCTTATCTCTTCATTTATTTTTTCCTTCCCTTTTACTTCTATCTCATTTTCAATTTCACGGTATTTTCCTTTTCGCATAGTGTTTATGGGGCTGTACTGATAATTTCTACCCCCAGCCACAGCTCACACTGTCTGTGTTGGTAGCTTAGGGCTGAAACATAGGCAAAAAACCTTTTAAATACACTTTGTCTTTGCACGCAGCGATATGTTGTTTTTGTTGCTGTCATGGGTCGCTGACCTTGTGCTGGCCCTTGTTGGTCTCCCTAACCCCCTCAGGTCTGCGTTATCTTATTAATGCTTATTAATTGGGAGTCGTTAACCCGAGAGAAGAAAGGGATAATTGGCGGGATTCTTCCCGAACGGAAAGAACAGTAAGGGTCGTGAAGGCCCTGCCAGGATCATATTAATGGAAACTATAAAAAGCCCGTACGAAGGGCTGCAAACACCGGCCGACATAATGAGGATCAGAAATTAAAATACAAACATATTAAAAGACGGTCCGGCCGACGTCAGCAGATCGGTGTACGAACAGGGAGAATATTGAAATAGTCTAGAGAAGATTGTTGAGTAGGAAATATACGTAAACCGTATCTCATGAAGAAGGGTCATGTACAGCGGAGTATGCAAAAAAAGGGTCTGTCTGTGTTTCATTCCTAAGCTGTAAACACAGACAGTTTGAGATGCGGTTAGGGGTGGGTATCATCAGTACAGCCCTCTAACCGCCATGCGATAACGAAAGTAACCTAAAGGGGGACAGAGACAGAAAATAAGGCAAAAAAAAAGGAAAAAGATGGAGGAAAGAAGCTCATATGTTCGATGGTTTGTCATTCATTGCATATCAGTTGAAGCTGAGTGTTGAGCGCGGCACTCGCCTCTCAGAAAATAAAGTTCTTCGGCTGCGAGCCCTCGCCCGTCACCAACCGCTCATTTACTCAATTTGCTATTGCTTTCCTTTCGCTTAGTGCTACACTCCTTTCTACATGAGTCCTTTACATGTCATGCGGTTTTAACTACATCAACGCTCACTATCCTTCCTATCATATTTCATTAACTAATTTTTCCCCTTTCTATTAAGAGATTTTTTTTTTTCAGGATTTCGGCTGCTCCGTATTTTCCACGGTTGGACTAGCCGCTGTTCCAGAACTTTTGGTCCGGGCTTTTTCCAGTTTCATCCGATTCGGCCCCCTCACCTGGACCGTCCATTTTTCCCTTGCGTTAGCTTCTACCCTTTCTGTTCTAGACCATGCTTGTGGCCGAACCTAGTTGAGCCTAGCCGTACTGTATTTTAGTGATTTATGGATCGTCCCGTTTTCACGCTTCACAACTACGGGATAGGTATATTGGTTCGGCCAACCTTACACTCGCCACTAATGGCATTTTTTATTAAAAACATGTTGAAGGTACAGGCGATGCAAAGATGCTGTGCATAAAAGACACGTTTAAAGAGAAGCAAAGCGCAGAAACTCACAAACAAAATCACAATCTTTTATATTTATCTAGGCGGGAGAGAAATCTCAAAAAAGGTCACGAGGGTAGAGAGATATTGTTGCTTATCATT